GGGGGGGGGAGAGAGAGGGGAGAGAGGAAGAAAAAAAGGAAACGCGGCAAAGAAAACGGCAGGCCGAAAGAATTCGCCGGATTTCCGCTCGCCGTTAAAACCGCCTATCGAGACCGGCGCGTTGCGCAACGCCTATGTCCTGTGTGTGTTTCCTGTGTATGTCCCTCTGTGTGTGTTTCTACATGTGTGTCTGTGTGCGTTGCGCGCGGGCACGCCCGCGATAACGCGCGATGGAAGTCGCGAGAGGGGTCGAGGGGAGGGAGGGAGGGAGGGGAGGGGGGGGAGGGGATAGATGAATAGATAGGTTTCCATGCGAGTTCGAGACTATTATCTCCAGCGGCTCTTCCGCGGCGCCACGGGATGGCGGAATAAGTTCTACGGGAAGAGGCAATTTCTCGGGACGCGTTGCATAACGACGGTAATCGGAATGATGAATTTGATATCATTCGCTAAATCGCGTTTATGGTCAAACGCGATCCCGCTAAAATGAATTTGATATCCTCCGCTAAATCGAGAATAAGATCGATGCGATTCGTGCGATTTCGATCTACGGACGCGTAAGCTGTCTAATTATAACTATGAGAATGAAAAGAAACGTTTTATAACGACAGGAGGCCTCGTGACGAATCACGACGACGACGACGACGACGACGACGACGACGACGACGGAGCGTCATCGCGCGAGATTGGCATGCTCTTGAGAAGTTTCCGCGCGAGTGCGACCGCCTCTCTCGCCAAATGCATCGCGAGCTGAAAATCCGCTCGACGCTTGCGAGCTCACGTTCCGCCGGGTCGTTTCTTCCGTCCCACGTTTAAGCCGCGCCGCTTCCTTTCGCGGCGCGATATCCGGTCGCTCCGACAAAAGGAAAGCCCGGGCGCAAACTGACCTGCGCTAACTCGAGTTTCGTGAGACTCGACGGACGCACGGGATAATCATTAGGTTATCGTTGGAGGAACACATCCCTGCATGCGTCCGTTGAACGCTTTGCACGATCGGGCGATGCGGACGGAAGTGATTTTCACGATAAATGCGGAGTTTTCCGTCGCTTTATTTGACGAAACTTCGTGCTTTCTACGTTAGTTTCTAAAGCCTTTATTCAACGAGGCCAAACACGTGCGAGCTCGGGGCATTGTAATGATCGAATAATCGGTAACATCAGTCGATTCTGTTTCCTACCCATAGCCCATAGCGAGATTTTCGAGAAAAGATTTCAAAGTTGGTTTAAAGCCTTGCTTCAAAGTTCGTGCCTGTCCCAAAGAAGAAGAGGAAGTAAACAAAAAAAAGGAAATACCTGAATGGAAGTTTATATAGTAAATCATGTCGCATTTCCTCCGAAAACTACGACATTTCAAAGAAAAATCGAAGAGTTTTATTTCCTCCGTTTTCATGAATGAGGCGATCCAAAATAGACTGTTCACGAATTCAAGTCACGTTCGGAAAATTGTTGGAAGTTGTGTCTACTTCACGCTCGTCATTCAACACCGGATGTAACGCCAAACGACCAGAGAAAGAAAGAATCGGCCGTTTGAAAAACGTTCTTCTTCCGAAGGACGAAGGCACGTTGCGGCGAGGGAACACGTTTCGCGCAAAATCTCGCGGATTCATTCCTGGGGTGCGTTGGCGCGAGGCGAGCAGCGCGTCCGCCAGAAAACGTTGAGAAATAACGTCGAGAGTTTCGAGCCGAGCGGTGTCTCTCGAGCTCGATGTCCCGCGGAGAGAATATCGCGTGGGCCCGGATACGTGGTCGGAACCGCTTTCTATGCGCAAGGGCCTGGAATGCTCGTCGCCTCTCCTCGCGCGAAAACGATCGCTTGACGACCTCTCGCGACTTCTACGAATCGCAGAGCTGCGCGCCGTAGAAAAAAAAAGAGATTTCCGAATGACAAAAGGAACGACCAAGTATAAATATATTCGGCGGCATAAATATATGTATGATGGAAAATCGTGTCACTTGATCAACACGCTCCTTCTCCTCCATATTAATATATGAAGAAAAGCATAAAAATGATTGTACTATTCAAACATGAGGTGAGCCTACTGTATTTAGGTGATTTAAGTAGAGACGAAGACTCTTTTCATCAGTTTCGCGCTTGTAAAGCGCATTTAAGACTATAGAACTCTTCGAACAAATAACTAACAGGATGTTGAGAAAGGGTTTAAAAGAAAAAAAAAAAAAAAAACAAATTGCGCGAAGCGCAATACCGAGTCGAGTTGGATCGAGCCGAGCTCAGCGCCGCGCGGTGACAGAGCCAGTCTCGCGCGCTTAAATCATCGATCGCGGATGCGTGGGTGCGCCACCACGACGCCAGTGGGAGAATACATTTCGGATTTTTGTCCGTCCGGGAATTTGCGTGCCACTAATGGCATCGACGACGCCGAGCGACGGAGAGCGAGGCTAGGCAACCTGCAACGTTTCGCGCGCGCTACCGCGTAAGGCGAGGCCGGAGAGGCCGACTACCCACCCGGTTCCTCCTACGGGAAAGAAACGGGACGAGGAGGGAAAAGGAGAGGGCGAACGAGGGAGGAAAGAGAGAAACGGAGACGAACTCTCCTCGGTCGATCGGATCCACCTACGGGAGCGAGGGAGAGCGGGATCGAGAATGCCGGCCGGCCGGCCGGCCGGCCCGGAGCGGTTTAAATATGTCGACGCGATCGATCGGCCAACTGAATCGCCGTATTTCCGCCAAACGAGTTCACCTACGCGCGCGCGACGATAGTTCTCTCGGTTACCGCTCTCCGCTCCGCGGGTCCGCAGGACCGGTCCTCCGGTCGCGACTTTCCGGACCCGGTCGGCCGCCCGGTGCAGGTCCTGCGCACAAGCGGCTCGGCGGCCTCTCTTTCTCTCCTTCCCTCCATTCATCCCTCCGTTCCGCGCTCGCGTGAATTCAATTTTCGCCGCGGGCCTTCGGCGTAAATTTCATTAATCTTGCCGCCCGATTATACGCCCGGCGTGGTTATTTTTGGCGCAACGCGCCAAACGCGCTGACAAGTCGCGCCGGTTTTGCAAGCAAAGACTTTGCCGACGTTCACATTTTATTCCTCCCGGAGAAATAATGGAAATACTTCGCCTTACTTCCCTTAAGTAAATCCTTTCCTGTCAGGTTTCTCTCTCGTTCAGAGATGCAGAAATAATTCAGGCTGTCGGGAGGCAGCCTAATGTCTTATTATCAACGATAAAAATGCGGGAACAGTTATCGGAAAGACATCATTGGTGCTCGCGACGACGCCCGAGGAGATTATCGGCCTGTTCGGACGATACATTCATATTCTAATGATGCGAACGACAGAACGGAGGAGGTGTGCGTGCATTGCGATTCGCGATAGAGTTTCATCATAGAGGTAGAGAGGAAGAAGAAATGTTAAGTCAACTCACGTCCTTGCTCGGGACGCAGAGCGGCGTTCCTTCCTTGACGATTCCAGCCTCGACCATCACGCCGATCACGATCGGGTCCCTCGAGTTGAATACGTACTGAAATCCAAGCGGGGCCAGGTTTAAAAAACGTCGAGAGTTCGGAGATCGGCCGGTGCGACGTCGCACCGGCGTAAATCCCGCTTGTTTATCGCGCGTCCACCGCTTGAATCTTCGCGAGGCGCGCAACTCACCTGCGGCAGGATCTTCAGCTTGCACGGGAACACGGCGATGTGCTTGTTCTCGTCTCGCTTGCGCTGCTTCAGCTCCTCCCTGTAATTGGTGAATTTGTCGAACAGGTGGTAAATAATGTCCGCCTGGAAGATCTTGACGCCCAGCGAGTCCGCGAGTTCTTGCGCGTCCCTCTCGATCTTCACGTCGAAAGCGAGAATCGTGGCGTACCTACGAGCACAAATTCATTAAACAATTAATTACATTTCGCTATTGATTGTCTTCTTCGTCTCCCTTTTAGAAATTCTGAAATTGCGTGAAAAAGCTTTTTCTCATTGTTGTTAGATTTTTATAAATCACTGAACAAAGTCTAAATGAAGTTGTCAAGTGACAATTTTGTAAATTAATAATTAAAATATAAGGAAAAATCGTTTATCTTAACTCTTCCTCGTTTCTTGGAAAATTTGATAGAATTGGAGAGAATTGGATAAGAACGACAGTTTCACTATCGAGGTACACTCACTGGCTATCGTGCTCCAACATGATGGAAGCTTTCATGACGTCTTTCTTAACAACCGGTCCAATACGAATACCGGAATACTGCGAACAAAAACAAAAATATCGTTAGCGAAGGAGATATTGTCAAACGCAAGAAAGATATTAAACGGCATCACGAGCGAGCGAGCGAACGCTGCTCGTCATTGCGCAAGTCGCTCCGATTTCGCTCGACGGCGTGCAGTGACTGTCTCTCTCGCTCTTTATCTCTCTCTCTCTCTCTCTCTCTCTCATCTTGGCAACATTATTACATTAGTTTTCTTGCGTTATGTTATTTCGCACATTGTTACGTAACACAAGGGGGACCGAGTAACGATTGCTGTAACAATCTAACGGCCGGAGACGCGCGAATCACACTTGTCATCTCTTTAACGCGAACCAGTTTCTTACGAGCAACTGGTAACTTTTCATCGAAGCTGATATTCGTTACGCGTGACCACGCGGGTGCGTGCAAAAAGTGCCTCCCATCCATTTGCTCGGATGAGAGAAGTAATCGCTCCGAGGATAAATGGAAAAGTCATCACGAGTAGTCATCAACCGTCAAACAAATAATACATCAAATCTCAGTTCTCGGATGTACAATACATAAATTAAAAAAAAAAAAATAAAAAAAAAGTCACAAAAGTACTATTGTCGAGAGTATTTTTCGACGATACATAATTATCATTTAGATACAAATTAAATCTATAAATATTAATAATTAATTTCCTTAATAAATGAGAAATAGGTGTTCGCTTGAGGGTTCGCTAAAACGAATCGAACGATTCGTTTTTCGCGATCGCGTTTTGACGCGATCGTCTACGCGGGCGCGACTACATCGACGAGCGAATCTCTGGAATCATTGCCACCGAAACGCCACGGATCCCGTGGGTCTCTCTCTGCCGCGTCGTGTGTACACCGCCAGGCAAAAATAACCAGTGACGCATGCATGCCGCGTCCGGATTGCAGCCGGACGGTGCAACGAGACGGGACGCGACACGAGACGCGCGGCGCGACGCAACACGTCGAAATAAACGCGACGCGGGATGCAGTCGCAAACAAGCCGTTTTTCGCGGCTTTACCGAGAAAAGCCGCTCCGCGGCGATTCGAGGAGCGCCGCGATCCGCCGTGGTCGGGATTAAAGCCGACCGAAGCAGAACGAGCGTCTCTTCGTGGCGTTACGCGATACACCGAGACGAAGACGATCCGAGTCCACCGAGAGAGAGAGACATCTCGAGAGACAGATAAATCTCTCTCTGTCCGAGATCTAGCCTTGCGATACGACCAGATATTCCCTGTGTTAAATTCCCTTAAATCGTATGCAATAATTAATGACACTTTTTTTTACCGGCAATTATATCTCTCTCTCGGTATTTTTATTGTTTCAACGTCATAAATTTAATGCTGAATAATTTCTGTGGAAAGAGAGATATCTCTGAAACTTGTAAATCTTTAACCAGTTCAAAAACTAACGCTTGTGTAGTGACTGACTTGAACTTATGAATAAAGAAAAAAATACACGTTTTTAATTCTTTCCGTTGGTATCTTTAGATACAGTCGGTTATTATCGATAAGATAATTAAAGAATATCAGTTGTTATTAATGAAATTGTTAACGATACAAATAGAATATACACGAGAAAAACAACATTGCTGAAATACCTGAACAGATTTCAGGTATTTCAGCAATGATACAGAAATCTGGAAATAATTTTGAATCATCAAAATAATTAAATAAAACACTTAAGCATGATAACAATATTGCAAAATTCTTTTATTCTAATAATCTTAACGTTATATATAATTATTTTTATAGCCCAACAAAATTATTTTTAGATCTCAATATGACCATATTTGTAGATATTTCAGCAAAACTTTTGTATATATATTCTGTTTGAAATTTTATCAATTATATTGTGATGTAATTGCACGATTAGATAGCAAAAACATTTTAAGCTGTTTTAAACGTTTTAAATGTTTTAATTAATATATTCATGCATCTGATCTTCGATGTAATTTATTTTTAGTTAGATTTTTAGTTTTAGTTTTTTTTGACTTAATCATTTTTTTTTATCCAAAGGTTCTTAATTTGTTATTAATTTTCATTTTTTTCATGTTGACGGCTAAATTAAATTAGAACTTCCATCGCTGTTCGTGCTAATTAAACATTTCTATTTATTTCTATTTATTACATTTCTATTTATTATCTAGCTAACACAAGCTAAGTTCCATTGTTAAAAAAAATTTGATATTATTTCTACATTAGATAGAAATAATACTTAATATCACTATAAAAAAAAAATACTTTTCTGATATTCTTCAGAAGAAAATCGAAAGACGCAAGCTAAGTTCCATTGTTAAAAAAAATTTGATATTATTTCTACATTAGATAGAAATAATACTTAATATCACTATAAAAAAAAAAAAATACTTTTCTGATATTCTTCAGAAGAAAATCGAAAGACGCGATTAATTAAGAATATGTACGATGTTTATTTCCGATAACTGCCGGATTATATCGCGCTACACATTACATTCCGTCTCGATCACCAGCCTCCCTATGATCCTCGCTATGATTTTACACTCGCGCGTCTACTTTCCGGTTTCGAAACGGATATCGGTTACTCATTGCCGATGCGGTCAATGTCTAACACGATACTCGATATACGGGATTAATTGCCGCGTTAGGAGAACCGCGATCGAGTTAAACACACTATAAGTACAGTATAACTTTCAGATTTTATCTCGCATCGCGCGCTCCTCTTTTTTACTTCTTATTATTCGTTACTCTTCGGTACTCTTGTGTGCCCGTAAACAAGATCATTATATGCAAAACCACTTACCTATACCAAAATACTAAATACTATCTCTTTATGCTAAAGTATTAATAAATATGTCGAGTTTTAATCATCGCAAAATTAAATATATGAAAATTTATACAGGTGCTCACTCTAAATGGAATCTCGTAAATTGTTCCCTTCCTTCCAGTAGAACAATCATTCTTCGTCTTTCATAGTAAATAAGTAACAAAGCTCCCATAGCATTTATTAATATTTTAACTTGCATAAGCATTTTATAATAATACCATATTTGAAATAATGACCCCCTCCTCTCTCTCTCTCTCTCTCTCTCTCTCTCTCTGTCTGTCTATTTTTTTCTCTATCTTTCTCATTTCGAGCGTACCCTCGCGAACTGCATCCTCTTCGCGATTGTAACGATAATTATTCCCGCAGGTATACAGACCGTGCAAATGGTAGTTCCTATTTACGGGCCATTCTCGAGCCGGTACCAGGCGGCTGATAGAGGCGGACGATCGAGGGGGAACGAGATAGAGACAAACGAACGAATGAACGTACGAACCGACGATACGAGCGGAAGATGATACGTTCCCGAGGACTTTTCGAGATAAGCGTGTTTTAGAACTTCCGGCGCGCGTCGCATTCCGATCCTTACATCAGATATCCCGTCAATATATATTTTTTTTCCTCGGTTCTATTTACCGCATCGCGACAAACGTACGTTTGTGGTCGCGTCCACGGAAACGCACGCGCATACGATAGAGAAATAAGATAGAGAATAAAAAGATGAATGAAAAATATCTCTCTTTACTTATATTAAGTCGTGCAACATCAAAATTAATAATAAAACATTAAATAGTTGTCCGCCTATTAATTAACGCTTATAATTTTCAACAATCGAGGGTGGTATTTTTATTAAATTAAATTATGCCACGTGCTTTCAGTGACATTTAAATTTCATATAGACATCGCTCAAAATTCCAAATTGATGGGATCTAGATGATCGTCATCTGTAGACGTGAGGATTCGACGTTTTCTCCTTGTGCACGATCAAAATTCGTTGCAAGTTGACGATACTTCGCTTTAGAGAAACGGATGCTCTCGGAAGAGAAGGAAGAAGGGAAGGCGGACAGAAGGTGAGAGAGGTGCCGCGGTGGAAAAGAAAAAAAAAAAAGACCGAGAGACTGCGAGAGACAGACAGAGAGGAAAGATGAGGCGGGAGAAAGAGAGAAATCTAGTACGACGAGAAAAGGCGGACACGGCAGATGTTGCCGGCGAAAGAAACGCCGCTGGTATAAGCGGGAGGAAGTTGAGAGGAAGAGTAAGACGGCGAGGAAGCGGGACGAAAGGGGCCCACGACGCACGGCACGGGGGGAGGGGGAGGGGGAGGGGGAGGGGGGGAGGCTTAAAGGAGAGCTCGGGGGACCGAGGCGGGGAGGGTGAGAGAGGGAGGGAGGTGCTTCCGGCATTTAAAACCAGCCGTCGGGGGCACGGATCCTCTTTAGCCTCTCGTCGTAACTGCGGCACGCTGCGCCGAAGAAGGAAACGCTAATTTATTAAACTCGCCTCCCGTTCCGCTCCTCCTGCATATCCTGCCCGCGCGAGCGCGAACGTGCGCGATTAGCGTCACCGAAGGACGAGCATGCCGTGGCCCCTTGGCGAATTTTTCGTATCTTCACCGCCGCGGTCATCACGCGGTGATCATCCCGAGAGAGCGAGAGCGAGAGAGAAAAGAGACATATGCTCAAAAGCAACGATTCTGAAAAATATATGAAAGCACAAATTGTTCTAGGGAAAATATCTTATTAAAGATATCGCAGATTTTATAAAAAAATTATTTTTTATTATTTCCTCTTGTGTGCAGCTGATAATGAACAAAAGATATAAGGAATTGTAAACGTATTAATTAAAGAATAATATGTATTAGAGAAAAAAGTACAAATCTAAAAATCTAAAATAGAATTTCAAGGCGCTTATCGTTTAAAGATAAATGATTAAAAGAAAAAATAAAAAGCGTTCGAAGAATCGATTTTCAGGAGAGGAAGTGGACAATAAAAGTCACAATCTCTGTATAATTTCAAGTGGGTTTTACATCGATAAAATCTCAATTTAAGATTCAGTCGGTAGAGATACGCGATATTAAAGATGAACGACGATTTCTTAATTAAACAGCTTTATCAAAGAAACACCGTTTATCGGTCAAGAGGAGCCGAGATTAAGAGCGTCCGGTGGGACAGCCCGCGTAATTCTCATTTATCTCTCGCGAGAT